TCATAATTGAGGGAGAAGTCGTGATGGGAAACATTCAAGATCTGCCAAAAGCAATGTGTCTTCTGTTTGGACTCACATATGCACTCCATCTTAACTATCCCAAGACTATGAAGCTCACATTTCAGTTCATCCAACAGGTAGTGCTCTCGTTAGGCCACACTGACCTAAAACCGAAGCTGCAGACTTTGAAAAATCAGCTCGCAATGTAAAGAGATGTTAGCTCTCCTGTAATAAGCTGTTGACTACTTTTTTCTGCCACACCAGTAAAAACACTTTCTGTGTAAACCTTTTTTATTTTCTGTAAAACAGGCCGACAAACAGGCACACGTAAAACGCAGACACACACATAAACAACAGACACATTCAACACCCACTCACAAAAAACACTGACACATGCACACCTACACACACTTAAATGCTGTAGGAAGCAGGCTGAGGAATGTGACTTGTGTGAAAATTTAAACTGAGTGGTGTTGTAGCAGAAAGACATGAGACATTGTTTCAGTTCTTGTTGCATCATCAGTCTTTGTAGTTGGAGTTAGATATTGTTCTGTTGGTTCATGTGGTGGCTTCCCTTCATTTAGGCAGATGAAGCAGATTCGGTTTGTAATTTCTTGTAAATTTGAGCTGAGGTTTCTTTTGAATCCTGTTTTTTTTAATGGATTTACCACGATAATCTCAGGGCACATCCATGTTTTTTCTTGTAAATTTATGATGCATTCAACACTCCCACACACAACCAGCACGGACAACACCAACAACCACACAAACAGCACAGACACATTCAACACCCACTCACATAATAATAATAATTTTGAGTACACACTACTAGCAAATATAAACACCGAACTTCAGGTTCCATGTTAGTAAAACTCAACATGTTTAGTTTTAGCTTGTGTAAAAAACTTAAGTGGTATAGGGCAATGGGTTTCCACGTGATTTGCGAGTAAAGCCAACTAATTCGGGTTAAGAGTGTATGTCTGTGTTTAAAGAGTTCATTTGTGCTTTATTTTCCTGTTAAAACCTTCTTTTGACGAAATGTATACCAACCTGACAGGGGATTCACCACTACAATAAACAACTCAGTGGTTCTACTATGAATCTACCAAACAAAAGAGGATGAGGCTCATGAATTACAATCAACTGCAGTTTTATCAGATACATCCATACAATCCAGTATTAAAAAAATCTTCCCCCTTTAAAGGCAATAGAAAGGGAAAAATATCAAAATCTGGCAACTAAATCGTTACCAAACAACGTCTTCACCAATATGTTTGTAAAGGTGTATAACAACATGCCTTAAAATGTTGAAGTTCAACTCTTGTGGGAAACCCTGAAAAACACCTGCTCAAGTTAAGGTACCGATAAATGATTGATGAAAAATCGATTTTTTTAAAAATCGGGCCTTAAGTAACTTATGAGCGTTCAAATCAGGGTTTGTTCATGATTCTGAGTTGACTGTTA